ATCAATTTAGAAATACTAGCGCATGACTCGCACCTCCGGTGCTTAATAAATATGGCTGAAAATGAAGACAACTTGAACATGAAAATGAAGCTTTTAATGAAGTGGAAATACAAAACAGTCGAAACAGAAAAGATAAACTTAAAACATGTATAAAACAAGCAAAGAAAAATTGAGAAAAGATTGAAAGAAGACAAAAAGATAATTAGAAAAGGTAGATAAAAAAGAAAGATACTACTATGTGCAAACTGAATTACCTTAAAAAAAATAATCGAAACAAAAATTATTCACATAAAAAGATGGATAATTAAAAAGCAAAAAAACAAGATTGACACAAAATAGAAAAAAGATATTAAAAGATAGATACAAAAGATTGGATACACTCACTTAGCCTACCCTATATGACGATCAATTTGTTATGCAGTAGTACTTAATGGAAAAAACAAAAAAAAAACTTTTTCAAACATGAAGCAAAGACGAAAACTATTTATTTTTTTGAACCACTTACCTTCGCTGAAATATGGTCTCAAAAACGGGTACCAAAATGGTAGGCATAACGATCCATTTTTTGAAAAAATTCGCAATTTTTACGAAACATGACTGAGACACACGAATCGTTCGTCATTTTTTCTCTTAAATGCGATTGCGCCAAGCCTTCTCTTAAATGCGATTGCGCCAAGCCAGTCACCTAATCGCTTATTGCCTCTACCGCTCTGTTTTTCCTTCGGTCGGCTACCTAGAATCCTTTTGCTCGCTACCTTGTTGTTGTTATTGCTCCGTGGACTACTCTGAGAATATCTACGCGAGTTCTTCTACGACTAGTAGGGGATTTTTCCACATATCTTCGATGGTAGCAGATATTGGGTTGGCCGGGCAGTTGAAAAGATGATGGCAGTCTTCGATGCTGGAGTTGCAATTGCTGCAGAGCTCTGATTCAATGTCCGGTTGTAATCGGTGTCTGGTTACGGCTAAGTTCTTCTTCGTCTTTCGATATCTCAGGAGTGGGTCTTTTTAAGACTCTGTTCTGCTGGCTTTTGGCTCTCTCTTCGGCGACTGCATGTGTGTGTAGCTGTTTCAGTGTCTGTTCAAGATCGTCTGTTAGAAAACTAGCGACTTCTCACTTGAACTGGCATGCAATGTCATCTTCTTGTCTCTGCCGGTACTCTGTTGCTCAAACGTCCAGAGGTGATTGCAGGGGTGGGTATCTTGAGTTGCTTTGGCAAGGAATTGGTTGTTGAGTAGGTGGTGGTGGCCGGCGACTTTAAGCATCTTGCGTTCATTATGTAGATGAAGAAATTTTTGCTAAAAAGTAAATTTCAAACGTTTTCGCAACTATGTGCATCGTCAGGATTTTTACAATAAACTACTCTAAATGACGATAAAACATCAATTTACAAATGTTATTTACAATAAATCACATACAATTTGGTTCTAAACCATCATGATAAAAAATTAGCCAATCACAGTTGACCTCTAAATTACTATTAAGATTAAAATACTTTTAACCTCTAAAATTAATTAAACATTTTAAAATTAATTTGTCTGGAAGTTTCTGAGTCATAATTTCGATTTAGACATGTACGTTTTGAATAAAAAACCAAAAATATTTTGGGACTAAATTTTCAGTGTTAACTCCCTGCTCCTAAACTCATCGCGCGTGTTCAAGCCCGGTTTCTCTGTAACATTCGTCTACTGCAGTCACACATGAGGCTTAAGAAAAATAGGCCCTATAACCACTGGCTCAAGGGTCAGGGACACTATCTCTTGTGTTTTTCTACCTCAAGAACGGTCGGAGCCAGTTCGGTTCGCTTGTGACATGAGACTACGACCCGTTACAGCTTAAAGGCTACTACTAAAATATCCCCCCACTCTAGAATTAGAAACGTCCCCATACTTAGGTCTCTAGATACCCAAAATACATGAACGCCGTTAAAAACCGGGTTGGAACAATCCGTTAAGTTACTTTTTATTAGACAGTGTAACTTTGATCCATTTCAGATGGATCAACCTAAAACTCGCCTTACCTCAACATAACAATCATAAAACACACTCTAGAAATTTAAATTAAGGACTCACATGTTGATGCGCTCAAGCACAGGAAGTAATTAAATGGGTGAGCAACTCTAGAATTAACTAAAGTAACTAGATAAGTTCAATGTTTATCAGTTTGAATGGTAAGGGTAAGTTTGAACTCAAGAACGAAGTCTTATGTGGACCATTGGGACACTCAAGCTGTCCACCTTTCCGTCGAAGGTTCACTCTGGTCCAGTTCGAATAATTACTCTCTCGGGAATACTCTGTCTTCTATTTCAGATAGGACAGCTCTACTCTTGTTCACTATGATGGAAATTGCGAATAGCAATTTCCCACTCGTTTTTATCTGACAACTTTCCCGCAATTGTTCTAAAATTGTTCTCCTTTCTTTTTCTGATTTTCAGTTCTCGCGAGAAAATCGTGCATGACATGTTCCATTCGAAATTTTAAAAATTTAAATTTCACTCCAAAATCAAGTGTTTTCTGCTCTTCTCAAGGTCAAACTTCCAAATATGACCGACTGGCACATACTCCCCGGACTCGAGATCGATGTCCTCATCGCGCGCTGTCTTCTGCCAGTGAGTCCCAGAAAAAACCGAGTGTTGCTCAAGATACAGTGCCAGTGGTCATTTACAGAAGTTTGCAGCAGATTTAAGATTATCTACACCCCAAAATTCACGACCATTTAAAATTTTCACACTATTGCTAAACAGCAACCAAAATCTGCATTTACCTGCACCTTTGAATTTTCGCTTTTCAAGCCAATCATTTAAAAATCTCTTTTGTCCTATTCAATCAGGAAATTGTCATGCAGCATTTTGATTTATATAATAGATATAGTATATTAGTAACAATATTTGCTTTGTTAAAGTTTCTTTTTCGTGAATCCAAGTTTCA